TATATATATATATATATATATATATAAAATCAATAAACATATATTGTTACGATTCACCGCAGGTGTACTTCTATTCTCAAGAAGTGTTTCGTGCAGCCGGCATTCACGAAGACCAGCTCCGATACGCCACTTTGGGAACGGGGATGTGTGAAATGTTGTCCTCGCTCGTGTGTGTAAGTGCCACCTGGTCGGTCACTAATCTTCCGCGTATCGTCGTGCTCATTTAATGACATTTTTGGATGAAAGCAATGCAGGAGGAAAGTACCACAATGTCGGTTAAATGTCAGGATTATTTTTCTTTGTTCCAGCTGCGGCTGTTGTGAAAGCGTTGTATCAATAAAGATATCTTGAATTGAATGATAATGAATTTAGTTTCCGTGATTAGCGGGAGCTCTGCTCATGTTACTCTACAACGAGCTCAGCCCGGTTGGTGTATTTTTATTTTCTTCAAAAAAAAAAAAAATCCAAATCCACACTCCAACAGATTACAACTCCTTCAAAAAAACAAAAAAACTCCAAAACTCACAACAAATTGGAACAGCGAGGCGCAAGTGTCGTTCTAGCCCCACCTTGTGGTAGTTTCTCTTCATGTCATCATCTTTCCACTTCAACTCTGTATGCGTCCACTTTGCTCTGTGCCTTGCTCCACCGTTGACGCTCCAGTTCGTGATCATTGAGAGAACAGGAAAGAAAGTGCTCCTCTTCACAGGATATATGGCCATGACTCTTACGCTCATCCTCCTCACCATCACGCTCTATCTGCAGGTGAGCCATACCACCAACCGGATTTCGGCATCTTAAGCCGTTCACACCCAAGATTTAAAAGTGACACTTGCGTCTTTGTTTCTCACCTAGCATCACATCCCCTGGACATCGTACTGCAGCATGGTCCTCATTTTCATTTTCCTCTTCAGTTTTTCCATTGGGCCAGGTAAGTTTTACGCTTCGATAAGAACAAAAAAAAAAAAAAGTGACAAAAGAAGAATAATAAACTGGGAAGGTGTACCAATAAATTATTTGGTGATCGTATGTTAAATGTCAGGTCATTTTTGGTCAAATTAGGAGTTTCGTTTCGACCCGAGCATTACTTGGCTGCCATCTTGTTGAATTTTAGTCCCATGAAACTAAAAGAGAGTTGAGGGCTCTCTTTTAGACAAAAAGAGTGCTTTGCCCCCATTTTGTGCCATTTTAGTTCCAAGGAATGAAGTCGAAGGGAGTTGAGTTTTTTTTTTTTTTAACCGTTAAATGTCATCCATGTTTGTGAATGGTCCTGCAAAAATCTTGTTGCTACCCCGTTGTGCTTATTTCCTGCCTGAATGATTCGTGCTCACGTGTTCTTGCCTCACAGGCGGAGTGGTAGCTCCTCTTCCAGGTGTTATTTTCACTCAGGCGTTCAAAGCGAGCGCATACACCGTCGCCTGCACCATCAACTGGATTGGAATGTTCATCGTGGGGATGGTCTTCCCCATCTTAGTGGTGAGCTTCTTCGTGTACGTGCGCAAAGTTCCCACTGGGATCACAAACACACCCACAACGCAAGCGCTTCCATTCCAGGAGAACCTCGATTCCTTCAGCTTTGTCATATTCCTGTTGGTGTGCTTGATGTCCGGACTGTACGTGTACTTCAACGTGCCGGAGACGAAGAATAAAACCGCTCTGGAGATCGCCGTCGACTTTGACCAGATGCACAGCAAGTCTGGAAGGTGGAAAGGGAAAAAGAGGGATAAGCAGCCACCCGACGTCCGTACAACTTACCAGACCAAATTTTAGCTTGAACTGGTGAAGATCGCAAAAAATCTCAAAGACAATGTTGAAACAAGGGAGATTAAAATACGGTATTCTTTCTTACATGAGTTTGTTTTTTTCATCTCGTGATGAGAATGACATCATAACATGTGACAGAGTTTTTTTGCGCTATTATGAATACTAGATGTTTGAAAGTCACATACATACTGCTTTTTTTTGAGGGGGGGGGTCATCTTTTTGTCAAAAACACTTTGGATTTCAAGCTTAAAACTCAATTATAGCAAAAACAGAATATAAACAATTTAGAGGACGTCGTTCACTAAATTACCTTTTGACTCTTTTTTTTTTTTTTTTAAATTTTAAGTTTTAATTTCAAAGTTAGTATTTACGAGCCTTTACACGGACACAACCTACAGCAGTGTATTTAAATTTGGTTCTGCGGTGCAGGACTCCAATTTGGAAACTCACTTTGGGGTGCAGCGCCCATCACGCAAGTGCTTGTGCGCGTCTGATAACGCAATCGGCTCGACAATCTGGACGGCCGCATCGCTCTCAACCCGCTAATGTGTTGCAGTAAACAAAAAAAAAGGAGGGGGGGTGGGGGGAGTGGCGGCATTCTGCGACGTACCTCAGTCGGTCAATTTAAATGTGGGCTGAGCGAGGTCAACCCCGAGAGAAGTTGCCTCCTTCATCAACAATTACTCTTGTCGGCGGTTGTGGACACCATGGACACGGAAAGCTGTTTTTGCGACGACTCCAAGGGGACCAGAAACAACGCACAAAAGTGAGTTTATCATGATGTCATAGTTCAAATACAAATTTTTTGGGGGGGGGGGGGGGTAGGGATTCTTGACTCAGACGGACCAGAACGTGAATATTCAAATGACGTCTTGCTTTCTCGCTTCCGTTATCAACTGCATGTTCCAACTTGCTCGTCCTGGGTTATTTGTTTTGTTTTATTTGTTAGCGTGCTTATCGCCAATGACTGCAGGCAGTCTGTCGGTACAGAATTACAACTGCAGATTCTTACTGGCTTATAAACCAGTCAAATTTTTATAAACATTGAGAAAAAAAAAAAGGTAAAAGGCCTTGTGGGGGGAAAAAAAAAACAACCTCTTCCGTGTGTTGCTTGCAATATGGCAATGTTATTCTCAAAAATTATGATTCTATCTTTTGACAATCACCCCATCATCCATTTTACTCTGATTATATTTTAAAAATGGGTTTTAAAAGTTTAATTTTATGCGAGCAGCATCAAGAACATCACAAGGGAAGACTAGGACTGCATCGAAAAGACAGGAAAAAGGCAAACGGACTATTACAAAAAATAAAACTTGAAATACTACGTCATAGGTGTCAAACTCAAGGCCCGGGGGCCATATCCGGCCCGCCACCTCATTTTATGCGGCCCGCAAAAAGCAAATCAAACACGACAACTCCCATGATGCTAGCTAAAATCTACACCAACATTAAAAATTCTCATCGTCAAAATTCTCTACATATAAGCATTTTCTTGTAACCAAACCCGTCATGACAGTAACTTAAACAAAAGTGGAGTAAACCGTTATTCTTGACTTCTTTATGTGGTTTCAGTCATAACAGCCCTCCAAGGGAAACGTTAACTAAAATATGGCCCGCGACAAAAATGAGTTTGACACTGCTGCACAATGAAATCGTACACTGAAATCACAAGAGAAGAAATTGAATGAATTGAAAGTCCTCCGGGCTGAGCAAGAAGGCATCCGCACGCAAGTATCGTGAACGTAGCATATGCTTTCCTAAAGGATCCTCGTGACAATTCGTCTCAGCAAATCTCAAAGAGTCACGTTGAGTGGTGATCGCTGTGCGGTCATGACGACTGTCCTTGTGTTCCGTCGTCACAGGATTTTTGTCAACAGAAGCTTGACGCTGGAGGGTATCAAATGTTATGGCTTCGACATGGACTACACACTGGCAAGTAAGTACGGCAATGCCTCCAAAAGACCTCCCGAGATTAAAAGGGTTTCGAATTTACCATGATAATGACCTAAATCATCACACTTATCAGTATTAGCACAATCAACAAGATTTACTGGTGAGCCCTACGTCAAATTATGACGAACGCGATTTATTTGTCCCTCACAATGCAAGGCTCCGATAGGCTTTTTTGGGGGGGGCAGATCCATCTTCAGAACTTTTTTTTTTTTTTTTTTTTTTTAAAAGACTAAGTGCTTGCTTCAAGTTTATTGCCACACCCAGCTTAAGTTTACTCTAAAAGACAAAGAGAATGACATGTCTTTTTTACAAACCCACATTTAACTTTGTTGGGCGATGCTTAACGCCCACAACGAGAAATGCCTCATAGAATCGCGAAAGAAACTAGAATTGTTGTCACGATAAGACAATAAATCATCACAGGCATATATTCTATATCCTCTGTGAAAAATGAACACTAAAAATAAACATAAAATAAGCGAGTGGTATCTCTGTATGTAATATACTGCCCCCTGGTGGCATACCAGAAGACGCAGCACAATATCCATTGGATTGTCACGATACAGAAACTATTCGTCTTGACAAAAAACACACGACAAAATGTTTTGTTTATGGCGCTAGAAGTATAATAATAACAATTTGTATTTCCTACACTTTCTTTTGCTCTCTGTAAAACTTTTCATACCTTTGTTTGCAAAATGAAAGCGTGTTGAGATTAAATTGTCATGCTGCTCTCCTTGCGCCATGTGATCGTAGTGTACAAGTCTCCGGACTATGAGAGCCTGGGCTTTGAGCTGATAAGGGACAGAATGGTGTCTGTCGGCTACCCTCATGAGATTCTGCGGTACACGTATGACCCGAGCTTCCCCACAAGGTGCGTTTGGTCACGCAAACAACATGCTTCAGTCGTGATTGGCCAGCTTTAAATCACTTCTTCTATCACGGCCAATCATGTCGCCCGCCTTCCCTTCAGGGGCTTGGTGATCGACACCACATACGGCAACCTGCTGAAGGTGGACTCCAACGGGAACATTCTCGTGTGCAGTCACGGCTTTTGCTTCCTCAAAGGGTAACGTGAAAACAAACGGCAATGGATTTCCCGACAATGAGCCATCCTTCTTTTTGTTTGTGCGCCTCAAAGCGAAGAGATTCACCGCTATTACCCCAACAAGTTCATCCAGAGAGACGACACGGACCGTTTCTACATTCTCAACACCCTCTTCAACCTTTCAGGTTTCACATTAATCGCTCTTTTCATTTTTTTTTTTCTCCACCAATCGTTCTCAAACTTTTGAAACTTTTCTCAAACGTTTTAAACTTCGCATGAACGTTATCCGTGTTCTCACCACCACACTGCTTTCGCACGCCACCTCGCCACGCAGGTGGGATTGCTGTACTGAACACACACACACACACACACACACACACACACACACACACACACACACACACACACACACACACGAACACTCATATGGTGTGTGGGCCAAGATCTGGACACTCCTGCCATCTACTGGTGATTTGTCATACTGAAATGATTCCTAAAGCCTTGATACTTATTGAGGAGCTGTGCGAAGCCGTTTATTGCATTTTTTTTTTCACAAAAAACACTAAAAACGTAATTTTTTACGTTTTGGCATGAAATTAGTTCAATATTCTGTGATGGTTAGTATATAAAAACAAAGGAATATTCGGAATCAGCGCCCAAAAAAAATGTATCGACAAAAGTTTACTTGCATCTCAGATTAAAAAACAAAAAAAAAATTAAAGATTTGTTGACCGGTGTAATCTTGCATAAGGTGAGGACTTAATTACCATTTCAGTTGACTCACATATGATTGCTCCACAATCTTGTGTGTGTGTGTGTGTATATGTGTGTCCATGTGTATGTTCCAGGGAACTATACGACTTGGCCGCCCCCGTCTGCCTGATGCAAATCTGTACATAGTATTGTTTGCTATTACTCCAAAAATGTGTTTGGGACAAATAAACACCTGCCCCTCACTAAACTGCTTTTTCTACTTTTTGGCAGAGACATATCTCTACTCTTGCCTTGTGGACTTCTTCGCCAAATGTACCAGATACAAACTGTGAGCATGCGCTTTTTTTTCAGCAACCTCCTCGCTCGGCCGCCCCTCTATTGCAAAGCAGATGAAAGATAACAAAATTTCAACCCCCACCCCATCCTCCCTCCCCCAGCGTGCTAAAAGGTTACCACCACGGCGACCTGTTCATGTCATACAGAAGCATGTTCCAGGATGTTCGAGACGCAATGGATTTCATTCATGACACGGTAACCTTTACACAACATGAACATGGGGGCGGGGGGGGGGGGGGGTTCCCCCTG